CGCACTATAGACTGGTTTTGTCAAAATGTGGTTTTCTACGTTATTTTCAAAATCGAAAGGTTGAACCAGAATCACCCGATTCAACTCGGGATTAGTGGGTTGCAATATGGGCATTGGATGGCTTGAAGTCGCCTGATTTCAACCCTTTTTTATTTCTTGATCAACCTTGCAGTGTGACCGACTCGGGCACCCTTTGCATTTTTAAAACACTGGGTTGTTTTACTCAATTGAACCGGTTTAGGCCCGTTGGATGATCCAAAAGGTCTAATTCTGACAACCCAGTTGCATGTTACAATATTTCTTCATTTTTAACCAAAGAAAATGAATGGTATATTAAGTTAAAGATGAAACCACGCTTAATCTATTTAAAATAGATATTTACATAATATTATAACTTGATTATCATTTGTAGAAGTAAGGTTATAGTGTTTTACGTTGTCCACTTTAGCTGGATGATGTGGATTTGAAGTATTTTTTAAAAAAGTATAAAAATTGACACATCTTTTAAAATAGTAGCTAATCTACTGTCCCAAGTAATATAACCGGTACTGATTCCTACTACGATTGCTGCCTCATAATTTTTTCCCTCTAGATGTATTTGAAGTAGTTATTCTGTGGTTTCCTTTTCAAGTAATAAAAAGGAAATTCCTTGCAATGAAAGAACTTGAATTACTGAATTCATAAACTTTATATTGGTTTGGGCCCCATTTTTGTGTTTCTTTCAAAGAGTGATTTTCATACAGACCTTTAAACTTATTCTTCTCTCACACACACATTCTCATTCTTATCTAACATGATTTGGAAGTGCAAGTTGTCATAGTTAATAGTTTTCACAAACTCTTATCCAACATGATTTGAAAGTATATCATCATTAGGCCTCTCAACCATGAATAAATTCTCATAGTTAATTGTTTTCACAAATTAATATGGGTCTCCCTCCCTCTCTTTCTATATATATATATATATATACGGATAGAGTGGGTGAAGGTGATGAAGACTATGTAAATTTTAAGTTATTATTATATGCAATGTATCTTTCTCATAATTGCCATTAAACAATGCTAATGCAGTTCATCAATAGGTAGAGTCCCGGACAAGTTAGAGGATGGGTTAGTTTAATACTTATTATTTAATTAGTGCTCAATTATTGTGAAAGTGAAATGACAAGCTCTCATTTTATATATCACAATAGAAGAACATGCAAGTCTTAACAATATTTTTAAATAAAATTGACTCATGTGCCCCACCATACGTTTGTTAGTACCAAAAGTACCCTTTGCCAAAACAATCCATTCTTTCCTGGGATGTAGTTTGTATAAGGCTGAGGCTTTCAACAATCAAAGTAAGGCACATCTTCAAATAGTATCGAAAGATGTTGTTTCAATAAAAAAATTATTTACGATTGCCTAAAAATTTATTTTCATCTCTAATTATAAAATTTAAAGCTTAAAAAATAGTGCAAATCAAATTGATCTATGGACACTTGGAAAATCTTGAAAATTGCTGGTCTACTACAAGATATATTATTTTAAGACTTAAAGTCCAATTTTTATTTACTTCTATGTATCTCAAGGTCAAGATGATCGGAATTAAGGGTTTTCAACATAGAAAAAATTCTAATGAATTTTTTCGGTGCGCTTTAATTTGATTGTTTAGAGCCTTCCTTCCTTCAATATCACTATTTCTTATTTGTTTTTTGTTTTTTCTAAAACACAATAAAAAGTTTATAATATTCTCAACGTTTCCAAAATGGGATTGTATAATATGAGGCATTTATGTTTAGACAAGGAGGTCATAATTACTTTTAGTCATTGGACATGAAATCCAACAGATGAAAGTGTATCACAACATTTGTGGATTTTGTGCCACACATCTTTAACCACCTGATCTCAAATCTAAAGGTCAATGATGATTGTGACCTCTTTGTATGAAAAATAAGTGGTCTCATCATATGCATTTCCAACCAAAGTTTATACGAGGAAACTAAACCACTTTGAGATAGTTGAGGGGCCTAATTGTATGATAAAAGGCAACATGTTAATCCTTGGATTATGATATGAATATGACTTGCTTCTGTAAAAGATATGGATTTCCATCATTTTCCAATGATCCCAACAATGAACCATCGCTCATGTAATTTTTGCAAGGATCAATCCTTTGATTGTAATGTTTTGTCATTAAAATTGCTATTAAAGTACCAAAAAACAAAACGAAAAAAAAAAAAAAACTAAAAATACAAACACCTCTCTCTCTCTCTCTCTCTCTCTCTCTCATACACACGCATAAAGGTGAAAGATGTCTCATTCCCTTGTAGCTTACTAAGCGTATTTTTCATCTTAATATCAACTAAAGGAAACAAAAGAATAACATTCCTCTCTAAGCCTTTTGTCTCTCAACTTTAATAGTAATAGATCCTCCTATGAATATGTCACTAAACTGTTGTCCTTTTGCCTCTTTCCTTTTTTCCAAAAAGACAGAAAAATAAAACTTAATTTGGATTGTATAAATACTATAATTTTGTTTTTTGGGTAATTTAATGGGAAAGATAGGCCCCTATCTGCTTTTTCAAATATAGTTTAGGAGTTAGTTTTTTTTAAGGTGTTCATAGGTTGGTATCGTGTGAATGGTACGTGAATGGAAATCACAATGTAGTGACTACAGTGTGGTGTGCTAGTAGTATAAGTTCGAATGGGAACGAAAACCATAATATGATTACTAGGATGTGGGGTGCTACCACCACAACCTCAATATAAATACTATAATTTGCCCCCACCATCTTTTATTTTTTTCCCCTTGCTATGCCAAACAACCCGGAAAATAAAATTAGAATGCCCCTTATCAGACCTGGGTGAAACATGTGAAGGAATTTTGGTCTTTATTTTGAAAAACAAAATACTATGAGTCTTGGAAGTAAGGCACTATGCACAAGTCGCTCATCTCTCATTTGCTTTTTTCTTTTTGGTAGGTGAACGGAATTTCAATACACAATAAGTGAAGAAGCACCCTCATTAAAATACACCAAACCCATGTCCTATCAGCCTCCAAGTTGCAGCTATTCACATTAGGTTTTCTTAGCCATTAAGGAGTTCAAATTTATAAGGCTTTATAATCTAATGAAAGCAGTAAAAATACTACCACAATATTGACAAAGGAAAAGGGATGGTATACAATGAGATCACCCGATTTGATATCTAGCTGGCTTTATTAATGACATTCTTACAATCACCCGATTTGAAATCTGACGGACAAGAATGATTTAGATCTTCTTGTATCAAAATTAAATGATCTCGATGTATATTTTTTCCACTTTTTCAATAAAAATTTCTGATCACCAAGGAAGTAAATGAATAGTACACTCCCGCAAGAGCACAAATCTTTTTGCTTGACCGATATGAGCTCCAAATCCATCCATGGAGAATGATTTGCAGGATCTCTTGGGTCCTCTTCCACTAAAAAATATATATGTATGGGAAAATTAGGGTGGGTATACACAGTTCTATGCTGTTGCTGCCAAAGCCTTTTTGGTTCCCCTTCCATACAAAAAAATGGAAAATGGGGTGTGATGGTACACAGAATTTGGGGGCAACTGCGTCATGGTGCAAGCAAAATTTAGAGGCTTTTTTATACACTTTGAGAAAAAGGTTTTTAGAGTCTCAGGTTCTTTGCAGAGAACTGTGTGTTATAAATATCAGGTGAACCGACCCTGATTCATAGAAACCTGGAATCAGGTTTTGGACTCTAATCACAACAGCGAAGATACATCTAATACTAATATGTTTTTAAAATTTTAAACCCTGAACTAACATGTTTTTTAAAATTTAAAACCCTGAACTAATATGTTTTTTAAAATTTAAAACCCGGAATCGGGTTTTGGATTCGCCCTCTGGTCAACCGACCCTGATCCATAGAATTGGGTGGTCCGTATCGGCCGAATAGGGAAAATAACAAACTTTTTTCTGATACTGTTAACAATAAACAGCAGTTGAGCTCAGATGCTAGAACTCTCACCTGTATGGGCGTCAAGGTGAACGAACCCTTCACTCGCAAAGAGACCAAGCAACGCAATCTTCACCGCTCACGTGGGGAAAATAACAATTAGATCTTAAAATTGGTGGGAATTGGGTAAAATCTAATGACCATAGAACCAAATTGCCAGCCCGCTAAACTTGATCTAGATCAGGCGGTCCCAATCCAAACTTTATTTCCAAATCATGCATCTAATTATGGTTGCAGGTAGAGCCCCAGTATCTTAATACCTAGTAACTACAGTGCCATTATTGGTATGCACGTAATGATAGAGTTTCTAGCATGCTCTTGTAGTTTGTACGGTTTATTTTTTAGGAAAAGGATGGGTCTCCATAGAACTAGTACGGTTTGTATCAGTATATAACTAGAAACATTTATATTAATCAAGAAAGTTTACCCTTCCGAAATTCCATTTTGAGAGAGATTTAAAAGTTGAAACACGTCCTAAGTCACTCCATTTCCCCTTTATGTTCATCATTTTGCATCTCAAAAAACAGTGCAGATTCTAATGATCTATGATAAATTTAAAATAGAAAGATTCAAAGACTGTTTAAAATAGTCTGTTATGAAAGTTCAAAATCTTTTCTCTTGTTTTCCAATTCATCATTATAGTGGTCAAGGTTATCCACCTGTGAAACTTCATGTGCAATATGCTAAGATGGATTTTTCGACAGAGACAGCATTTGAATGGTGGTGTGAGCTATCCACCAAAAGCCATCCATATTAATTTCCATTTTAGTTTGCACATGATTTCACAGTAAATATGTGTAATGGTAAATATAGTGGGTAACTTACCCAAAAAATAAAAATATAGTGGTTAATACGACTTACAATTTACTATTAAAAAAGACAATTTTACTTACAGGAACGCAAATCTCTACTGCAATTGTTTCTAGTGAATATCAGTATGGGTTTCAACTTAAGTTGGTACATGCTTCTATTCAATTAGTACAGTTCCTTAAGAAATGGTAACAAGGCCACCAATCATGAGACTACAAAATTGGAAGTTCGGTTCTTGAGAAAACCAACATACACGTCCAGTACTCATAAATCATACAGGAACGCGTTGAAGTTCACTATCAATGGATAAGATTCAAAATACTACATTTCAATTGAAACGTATTCGGCTGCATGAGAGAGAGAGAGAGAGAGAGAGAGAGAGAGGGAGAGAGAGAGATCCAAGAAAAGGAAAATGAAAAGAAAAGAAAAACGTTCACACTTACAAAAAAGCCTTTATCCTAGGATATAAATCAACAACAAGCCTCCGGGTTCTCTGGTTGTCTTCAAACCAGAGAGAAACAAGAGAAATCCTCTTCAACTAGAAGTTCTACAATGTTAGGCTCTCTGGGTTTTCAATGATCTTTGCAAACGTCTGGAGGAAGGCTGACAGGTCAGCCCCATATATTATTCGGTGATCGGCAGTCACATTCACCTGAGAAAATATGGGTCAGTAAACAATTCAAATTGAGTGTGTTATTACATTATTTATGTAAATCACTTGAAATCACTTATGGAGACTCTATGTAAAAACTTGAAATCAAATACCAGTGAGGCATCTGGTTACAACCATGAGAGAATGGCCAACTATGTTGCCAGATTCATAATTACTCCACGCGAATTAATAAAAAAAAAAGATGCCTGAAGTACACAATTATGCAAATTTCTCCACACCCTATCCCATTGAGTATCCAAAAAAATCGGTTTAAAAAAATTGATGATCAGGATGTGGGAACTGGCCAATCTAGATCAGGAATCTGTAGGACCGATCCAGACACCATAAAATATCAGATTCTACTATGAATTGGTCAGAACCAGCCCCACTTTTTTTATTTTTTTCAGCTCTTTTAATTTTTTAATTACCGGTCCCTGGATCCGGATTGCGAATCTGCCGAACCACATCGGAAATCCAAAGGGGCGATCCAGATCACTGATCTGTTTTTTTAAAACCTTAAAAAAAACACATTTACAGCAAGTTACCAGGGTATTTAAAAGTCTAAGCTCACAAGCCCAATCTTGAAAGGAGCTGTAAGAAAATATGTTTCAGCAATAGAAACCCTATTGGATCTTCATTCCTCGGAAATTTTCAAATCCTTGTCAAAGTGCGTGGAGTCGGTTTGATAATTAAACCAGTGGAAGAGAAAAGAGAAAGGGAATAACTACTAATTGTTACGCACAACATTTGGAAGGGGCATAACTCTGACGATGGAGAAGTTCCAATGGACTTGCTTTACGAAGACTCCAGATGAATGAGGCTGAAACCTGGAGTCACAATGACACCAATGCAGGTCTAGATAGAACTCAGAACATCGTGCAGCAGCTGTTTCAGCAATTGATGATTCATGAAACGATTTTGGCACGTTTTCTTCTCCAACCTCATTTTTTTCTCAGATAAACACCAAGGCTGATTTATGTCGCATTCTTCGTGAAATTGCCAGGAACTCAAAAATCCCTCTTATGTGCTTTATTCAAATACTTACAATCTAACCATCGCTCCCAGAACACAATAGCTTCCAAACCTCTTTGTCTCTATCCATGCCCACTGTGGCTATGTTCATGAAGGCACCAAACCCCAAATATCACCCCATTCCTCTCCTCCAATTTCAATTGAAATGGTACCCTAAGCACAAGTCCAAACACTCCCTTTGCATGAACAGTAGAGGACAGCACACACTTCACCAAGGCACCAAATGCTCCACCTTGGTCCCCTTACCTTTCTATCTCTTGAGTGAGCCCTCTTATCAACTTGGCCCTGTTTCCCTGGTCATTGGTCTAGCTCTATCATTGCACATGAATCCAAAAGCCTTGAAGTGGTATTATCACACTCTCCCTGAGATTTCTCAAATGCTCTAAGTTCCAATGATCACGTTAAGATCCAACCTGATGGCATCAAATGTATTGTTAACTAATAGATGGGAATCCACAAAAATACCACCCCCTGAGTACCTACCCAGCCAAACCTCAACTTTCCTCTTTTTGAGGTGCACTACTCTGTGTAACATCAATTTATAGGAACAAGTGTGTGCACATCCTTCCCTATTTAAACTAATAGCGCTTATACTATGCTCCAGCCGGAGAATAGTGTACATGTCCTCCCCGATCAAAAGACTTACATTGGAGAATTTTTTCAATCTGAAATTTCAGGAACCACCTAAGAATCACTAGATGAATATTGTCAAAGGAAAAAAATTTTGTATTTTGAGTTTTCTAACACTTAGATCTCACCCTTTAAAAATTGAACAGTCTATGTTCAATCTTGAGATATTTCTTTGATGGAGAATGCAATTAGGAAATTTTTTATTGAGATTGGTCTATGGATTGAAGAGGTTACATCCCTGAAATATGTGAACATAAATCAAATCTACCATCTCTCGCAATCAGGTATTTGTCAGCATTCACATTATTGCAAATGACATTTCAAATAGAACAAGAAGTGGAATTTCAATAACAAGGAATCCAGGTTATATGAGACTAATGCAATAAGTTATAGATCTGTCTGAGGGATATTAAATTAAATTAGTAGCTGCCACAATTCATGAAGTCAGGAATTGAAATGAAATGTTTTTTGGACAAGTTAAAGGTATCTATCATTTTAGTTGCTGGCGTGTTTAAGACTCTAAGGTCTTGAATTTGCTTCAGCTGGCCATTGACATTTATCAAAGACGTCTTCAACAAATTGTCAAGGATATGACAAAAAAGAAATAAAAGACATGTTAGTGCTTGTTATGGGAGCTAAACATATTGATGCATTGTGATAAGCTTTTATGATAGCAATCCCTGATCACCAAAAAAGAGGAGGGTGGAAAGTGCAGGTAAAATAAGCAAACTAGATATGGTATACAAGAATAATAATCATGGGCAGCAGAGAGGCCAAAATTGCGCATGATGGATGCAGGTGAGTTACAGCTGTAAGCAGCTTGAAGTTGCAATGACATACAGATGCAAATGGGTGCGATAGGGAGGAGGCAGCTGGAATTTGGATGGAGAACAAAGGAAAGCCAAGAGTTTGTACCATGTAGAAAGCATCCAGGTCCCATAATTTAGATAAACTTATGGACTCAGACCTATTTGGGGAAAATTTGTGAAGACTTTGTGGTCCAGAAATCCTTAAATTTGCTTTCATAGTTCTCAAATCCATACTATATCATGAGAGAAGGTCATGGTTCCTTTATTATTGAAATACTATCCTTTTGTGACTTCCTCTCTCCCATGATGTTTTTCCAGTGTTTTCTGTTCATATTTTGTGCTCGCATTTTACAATATGTCATTTTAGGTATGTTGGCGTTGTTAGGACTTTGTAGACTTATTTCTATTTTCAATTATCTTTTACACAAACTTTCACATTTATTTTTCAGTCTGTCGGATATTTATAAGTATTATACATTGTTTCATATTTTTATGTTCACTTATTATTACATTACTGTTTTTATGTACAATTTCCCATCTTTCTTATCATGCTAAATTATTTTCTTTATATTATTAGCAATTCATCGTTTCCTCCCTTATGCAACTTATAGTCTCCAGGCTTGCTCTCACTACTGATATCAGAGTCACTCTATACAAATATGTGTTCCACCTTATTTTACCATTCCTCCACCATATTGTTCATTTCCCTGCATGTTAACAGAATTCTTCACATTTCTCCCCATGAATCCCCAAATCTTTCCCCTCAGGACCTCCTATTACGTTTCATATTTCTACTCAAATTGATACCGCATCCTGCAAGTCACATACACACTCTTTTCCATTCAAAAGAACCATTGTAGCTCCTTCCACTTTACCAACAATTTACTCTGCGTCTATCTTGTACAGCATATAATGATTTAAAGCACCAATCGACGATTTCTCATAGAAATGAAAATCTGAAGAAGGCATCAACAAGGCATTCAGAGAATTGAGTTCCTCTGGCAAACCTTCTGGGTATAAACAATCTTGCAAGCTCGTGAACTACATTGAATTACATTTTCTTTCTAATAGGTACTTAAATAACCCAATGTCAGATAAATTTTTTTTTTTTTTTTGGAGAAAGACAGCCAGACCAAAGCTAGCATCTCAAAGGAACATGGAATTCTGTATGATCACAAGTGTGCTCATTAACATAACCTGCTAGTCCGCGCAAGCTGTGGTTACAATCAAGAGAGCAGACAAAGGCCAGAAATAGAAAAATTAACCGAAAATAGGATCCAAGACCCCATCCAATAATGCTTAATCATAAAAAACTCTAGAAGGCCCAAAGACCGTCCGAACCCACTTTGTAGACATAAGATACGGGATAGTGACAAATAGGCAGCAACATTTGAAGCTCATGACGTGCTATCTAAGAGCACAACCATGGAAGGAGAGAGAGACATCGATCTTAATAGGCTGTCTGGGCATGTTCACAGTTTGAAACTCTAAAACAGATCATTTGAGTTAACTCCCTGGCCTTTAGTTACAAGTTCCTAGGCAATCCCTTGAACTCTCCATAACATTCCACGATGCTTGTTAAGGGTGGCAGCCCCCTAAACATGGAAGCAGCATTCACCTTTGGACACTTTGAATAAATTTAAATCAGTGAACAATGAATCAAGATGAGTGCAGGCCATTAGAATTTAAAATTGTTCTTTAGAAGAATGTCTCATGGCAGATATATCATTGGTTACACAACTTTTACGCACAATGAAACCAAACCACATGCAAGACGTCAGGTAATCGTAAACACAATGTTATAAAATTATCAGTGTAGGTGTTTGTGCGTGCATCAATACAAATCTGTATGTGAAACTGGTCACTGCATAGTTATACTCCATGATACATTTCTATCAAAAGATCTCAAATTATTGATCAAAGATATGTCTTGAAAGCTGGTCCTAAAACAGAAAAGGATGAAGCTAAATTTATTACTAGCAATGGCGGCTTACCTGCATTTTACTCTTCACACTGAAGAACCCGTCTCCCCCAGTCACAACTGTTGGCTTGGATGCTCCAACAGCCATGATTGCTCCCTGCACATCCAAACCAAGAATTACATTAGCAGGACATGTAAAACCTCCAGGCTTCCATTTGAAGGAGGTGATAAATAGAAACTTACTTGGCCTGGAGGAAGGATTGCATCAAATCTGTCAACTCCAAACATTCCCAAATTGGAAACAGTAAATGTCCCTGTGCAAACAAATAAGAAATTGTCCATTTTGGAAGTCAGCAATTTTGCAAATTACAGAATCTGAATCAACACAAATCATATTAAAATTGTCACCTGAGTTGTACTCATGCGGTTGAAGCTGTTTTGCTCGGGCCTTATCAACCAACTCCCTCCATCGTTGTGAAAGCAAATACAAATCCGCCTGAAATAAGAAGAGAAAGTAACTAAAAAATTCAGAAGTGTTGCGAAATAAGAGGATATGCATTATGAACACTATGTAATTTTGAATAAAACATCCCCATGGATTGTGCCCTCAGTCCCCAGGTATTATGAATAGTTATGAAGTACCACATGTTTTAATCATTTAATAAATGGTTAATTTACACCATAGAGACCTTATCAGCATCCTGCAGAACTGGAGTTATTAGGCCCCCATCAATGGCCACCGCCACTGCAATATTGATGCTAGCATTGTAAGTAAAACTCTTTCCATCCTTGCAACTTGCATTCACAACTGGATGCTCTGCTAAGGCCATTGCTGTGGCCTTTGCGAGAAGTGCAGTCATGGTGACCCCCTTTGACTTCACCTGAAAGCCAGATCAATCACATATTCAATTATCAAACAAAAAATTATTAATAATTAAACTAGAAAAATCAAAACCATGATAAGGAATTAGAGGAGCACAAGTAAATACACAATTAAGAGAATAATGAATCATGACCCCACTAACCATTTGACACAAATGCACTATGAAAGTGGGCACAGGTTCGGTAGAGGTGGCATTCAGCAATTAAAAGCCAAAGTAAAAAGGCAAACCCAATTTCACTAAGAATAATACGAAGTACTAACCTAAAAATCGGATCACACATATTTCAAGTATCATCTTACAAAGATAAATAGTAAAAATGCTAAGAAAAACGCTAAACAAATAGTAAGGCTAAAATTATGGCATATGAGAATCTATACAGTAAACTGGGAACACGAAAAGGTAAGAACGTTGTCTTCAAATTAGCAAAAATGATAGAGAAAACGTGTAGGATTTAAACCATATTAAATGCATTAAGAGTGAGGATCAAAGGGTCTTGGTGAAGGATGAAAAGGTCAACAAAAGGTGGAAAGTCTATTTTAAAATATTATTAAATGACGAACACAATAGAACATAATGGTAGAAGAAACTGTTAGCATAAATGAGGGCGGCGGTCATAGTTATATTCGTAGAATTACGATATCGGACGTGAAAGAAGGCTTGAAATGATGAAGATAGGAAAGGTTTTAGGACCAGATGGTATCCCGATAGAGATTTGGAAGTGCATGGGGGAGATTGCATTGACTGGCTGACTAAGCTGTTCAACATGTATTGAGAACAAAGAAAAATGCCAGACGAATGGAGGAAAAGTACTGCAGTACCTGTTTACAAGAACAAAGGAGACATACAAAATTATGCGAACTATCAAGAGATCAAACTTATGAACCACACTATGAAGGTCTAGGATAGAGTGACTGGGCAACAACTAAAGCATAAAACGAGTGATCAGAAAACCTATTTGGTTTCATGCCAGGGAGGTCAACAACTGAAGCTATTTTCCTACTTAGGTAACTGATTGGAAAGTTTAGGACGAAAGGAATAGACCTCCACATGGTCTTTATTAATTTAGAAAAAGCTTATGATAGAGTACTTCGGAATTTGATTTGGTGGGTGTTGGAAAAGAAAGGAGTCTCCAAATACTACAACAACTTGGTGAGAGATATGTACGATGGAACGCTAACTAGTGTACGAACAACTAGTGAAGAGACGAGTGAGTTTTCAGTGACAATATGTCTACATCAGGATCAGCATTGAGCTCATACTTCTTTGTCTTAGTTATGGACGACTTAAATGGGCACCTATAAGATAAGGTATCGTGGTGCGTGTTGTTCGCATATGACATAGTTTTGATCGATGAGACCCGAAACGGTGTCAACATAAAGTTAAAACTTTGGAGGGATGCTCTAGAATCTAAAGGTTTTAAAATTAACCGGACTAACATATAGTATATAAAATGCAAGTTTAGTAATAATAGGAGTAGAGATGAAGAAGTAGTTAAGATTGACGGCCAGGGAGTACGAAAATGAGCATACTTTCGATATCTTGAGTTTATAATGCAGGAAAATGGACATATTGAGGAAAATGTTGCACAAAGAATTAGAATTGGGTGGGCGAAGTGGAGATGTGCACCGGAATTTTATATGATCTATACTAATGAAGCTGAAGGGCAAGCTCTATAAGCCAACTGGGAAACCAACATTGCTCTATGGGCCGGAATGTTCAGCTGTCAAAAAACAATATACCTATAGAATGAGTATAGCGGAGATGAAGATGTTGAGATGGATGACTGACAAGACAAGAAGTGATAGAATTTGAAATGAATACATTTGAGAAAATTTAGGTGTGGCACCAATAAACTATAAGATTAGAGAGAGTAGAATTAAATGGGCTTACCACGCAGTACAACACCTGTTAGGAGGTGAGAGTTAGTTCAAGTGGAAGGCTCGAAAAGGGCAAGGGGTAGGGCCAAAAGGAAATGGTTGAAAGTAGTGAAAAAAAATATAGGAATTTATAGCCTCACCGAGAGTATGACCCTTACTAAAATAGAATGATGGACTAGGATTTGCGTAGACGACCCAATTAATTAGAAAAAGGCTTTGACGATGATGATGATGATCTTACAAAGACAAAAGTAAGCCTAGATAACAAGCAAAGAAGCACAAATAGGATCTAAAGAATTGGTGAATTATGACCCAAATGAAATAACTATGATGCAATATTAATAAGATAATGGGTCAAGTGGAATTCAGCACCCAAAAACAAAGTCAAAACCAATTCGCTAACTATAATAAAAAAGGGAAACCAAATTACACACTTTTGATCATATACGTTATAAAAGGAAATACTCATAAAAGGCAGTAACTAAAAGTAAAATAACAACACCACACTAAAAAAAGACCAATACAGCACCTCAACAAGTTCAAAATCAAACCTTTTTATAGAGAGCATCCAGGGCGTCCGTAGTCACAGAGTACCCAACCCTAAACACCGGAACCGGGAGGCTCTCGACCATGTTTCTCGAAACAGCCCCTTGCATTGTAGTAAAAGGAACTACGGTCGACCCACCACCCTGGACTGAAGACCCCGAAGAGCCAGCACCACCCTTAACAGTAGGAGGAGGAGGAGAGGATTGTTGAGGCGGAGGAGGAGAAGGAGATGAAGCCACTGTAGGAATGGCACTCGGTGCCCCCAAATTCGAAGGTTTGGCTATACCTGCAGCTGCCTCAATATCAGAGGGAGTAATTCGACCATAAGGTCCAGTCCCGATAACCTTATTCAAATCAACCTTCTGTTGGTTTGCCAGCTTCTTTGCATAAGGTGTGGCCACAATCTTACCCGAAGAGACCCTAGAAATAGGTGGTGTTGGTGATGATGATGGTGATGGAGATGGAGGTGGTGATGGTGGTACAGGTGATGACACAGACGATGAAGAAGATGCAGCTTTAGCCTTGGCCTCTGCAATTTCATCTTCAGTCTCAGCAAGAAGACCAATTGGAGCTCCGACAGGTGCAGATTCGCCTTCCTTTACAACAATGGCGGCCAATATCCCATCATAAAAGGTCTCCACATCCATATCCGCCTTATCAGACTCCACAACCACCACACTCTCGCCTTTCGAGAGAAGATCCCCCTCCGATTTCACCCACGAAACAATCTTACCCTCAGTCATGGTAGAGCTCAGAGCTGGCATGAAAATCTCTCTGATTTTCGCCCTAATTGTTGTGGATTTCACAGGTCGGAAATGGAGGCGCCGGGTATGGCATTTGGGTAGGGTTTTATCACCAAGGGAGTGTGAGAAAGAGAGGTTGCATAGAGAAGAGGATGGAGAAACCCTAGACGAGAGCAGGGACGCCATTAGAGCAAAATCTGAGAGAGATGAAGAATGCTTAGACTTAAGTTCTTTCCTTGTGCGGCAAATTTGTAGAGAGAGAGAGGTATAAAAGGGTACGTTGAGCGGAGAGGTCGAGGAAGATAGTCAGTGTTGACATCGCCCAGCTCCAACCAACAACTGAATGAAACATTTCGGTTTATTAACGAGCAGATGTTGACCATTTCACCCCTACTTTCGAATGAGGCTCCCTCCCTCTTGAGACACTTTGAGAAGCGCATCCTGGTATGTCGGGTCGGGTCTAGACCCGGATCTAAGAAGAATTTATGGAACATAAACCTGGCCCCCACATGAAAATAAAAATATATATATTTAAATATTGGATGAGATATATATGTATGGGAAAAGTTTATATAGAGCCAAGGCTCTAAACAATCAAATTTGAGCCTACCCCAAAAATTTCACTAGAAGTGTCTGTTTTGATGCCCAAATATCTTCAAATTGACCATCTCGACTTCAAGATGCATGAACAGGAGAAAAAAAATTGACTTCAAGTTTTGAAAATAGTGTATTTTGTAACATAATTATGGACTATCAATTTTTAGGATTTTCATAGATCTATCAATCTACACTATTTTTTAAGCTTTAAACTTTATAAATAAATATAAAAATATATCTTAAGGCTATCACAAAGATTTCTAATATTAAAACCACATTTCTTGATACTATTTGAAGGTAGGCTCTAATTTGAT